CATAATAGTATGCAAAACTACAATACTAAAATTCATAACCAATAATGGACATAGGAAGAAGGAAGTGAAAACTCGTAAAAGAATTCTCCATCTTGCTCCTAGTGTGTTCTTGCCTCCTTAGGTCGAATTCCCTCTGAAAAATGTCCCATTTGGTTGAATCTGCTCTAAAAACGACTCTCCCCGTTTAGACATGTTTAGGGAGTATTTATAGTCTAGGGTTGAAGTCCTTGAGTCCAAATTCGGGTCGGAATTTTTTAACCCGCGACTTTTAATTACCGGGCTATAAACCTCGCGAAGCCTGGTCTGTAGACTATAGACCTCGCGAAGCCTGTCCTGTAGCGCGGTCAAGCTGGCTATAGACCTCGCGAAGCCTGGTCTATAGCACGGTCAACCTGGCTATAGACCTCGCGAAGCTTGCTCTATAGCGCGGTCAACCTGGCTATAGACCTCGCGAAGCCTGGTCTGTAGCACGGTTTGGGTACTTGATGCTTTCACGCTCTTTTCTTGCATTTTTGTCCTCTTTTTGTGCAACTTTCATTCGACTATTTATTCTGATGCTCCTACACATAAAACAACACAATTTAGCTCGTGTCGCACAATAAATCACTAAACCAACAAAATATAAGGCAAGTAATGTACTAAAAGTATAGCATTTTGGCCTAACATCAACTACCCAAACCCCTAATTTCTACCATGAAAATCCTAGATTTAATGTTGAAAACACTTGAAAAGTAATGGATAATTGAAAATAAATAGATTAAAACTGCTTACCAAAGTTTTTGGGAAGAAAATCCTCTTAGAAAATCACCTCTAGGGTGTTTAGGGTAAAGTGTAAATGAAATGAGCTAAATCCCATTTTCTCAGCTATTTACCTAGGTGCAAATGTCGCAAATGCGTCCTGGGGCTCGCAAATGTGAGAAAATCTTTCGCAAATGCGAAGACACTCCCATATCTTCTTTCATCGCAATTGCGATGAATTGTTCGCAATTGCGAACACTAGACAACCGCAAATGCAAACTAGCCCACCCCAGCACTCTATCGCAAATGCAAACCTATCGCAAATGCGATCCTAACCTCGCAATTAAGAGGTCGGAGACCTGTGCACAAAAACCAGCAAAAATCCTACTCTTTCTAACACTCCGCCACACGTCCGAACTCACCTGAGCCCTCAAGGCTCCAAACTAGACATGCACACAAGTGTAATACCATCATGCGAACTCATTCGCGTGATCAAAATACCAAAATAACACTTAGAACTACGAAGGGACACCAAAGCGAATGAAATTTTCAAAGAAACTCAAGAACTTTCAATTTTACAACTGGACGTCCGAATCACGTCAAATCAACTTCGTTTTGCACCAAATTTTGCAAACAAGTCATAAATACTGAAATGAATCTATACCAAGTTGCAGAACCGAAATCCGAACCCAGTAGCAGCAAAGTCAACTTACGGTCAAACTTAGAAATTCATTAAACTTTTAAATTACTAGTTTTCACCAAATTACATTAAATCAAGTTAGGAACGCCCAATTCTTAAATCACTATACGGACCCATCGGAACAGTCAAAATACTGATACGGGTCCGTTTTCACAAAGCGTTGACCGTGGTAAATAAATGAGTTTTTAAAGCTAAATTTTATTTTATTTTCCAGAGATTTTTACCTAATAATTTTTCGAAAAAAGACACAGACTACGCACGCAAATTGAGGAAGGCTAAACGGAGCTATTTGGGGTCTCGGAACACATAAATAAATGGTCAAACTATGAAAGACCTATCGAGTCATCACACCTTATGGGTGAACCCGACCCAATAATTTTTTTCAATAATAAAACCCTGTATTGTACATATTGTAGTTACTAATTTAAAGAAAAATCATGAAAGACCATCAAAGTATCAAACCATAAAGTGTGTCGAACAAAGTGGAAATTCAACTTTTGCTTTGTCAAACTTAACACTTTAATTTTAGTAGCTTAGTTTAGTGGTCTACCATTAACCTACTTATATTAACAAAATTTTGTTCTTTCTCCTCCAAAAGAAAATGCTAAAGTAAGTCATCGTGCTTTTTTGAGTTCTTTATATGAGGGGCCAGTCTACAAAAGATCAAAAAGGGAAAAAACAAAAGACGAAAAGATTTTAAAAGATAAAATTGTAATCCTTAATCTATGATCTCAAATTTTGTTTTATTTTCCACCTAATTCTTTTAGAATACTATTTAAGACGAGGTGGGGTTTTGCGAGATATATCGTGTTGAGCAAAGAGTCTTATCATCAAGTTAAATAATTTAACCACGAGAATCAAAAATTAAAGTAAAGCTACATACTTTAACTTAACTATATAGTTAAATAATAAAAATAAAAATTTAAAGAAAGACTTGACTAAAATTCATTTAGTATTTAATTGACTCCCATGAAATCAGTTTCTTAACTCTTTACGCTCCAAAGCCTTAATTGTTAAATTTAGGAATAATAAACTTGAAAAAAATATTTAACTTAACTTTATCCTTTTCCATGTCTTGCATAATGTGTCTATTGATAACTTTTTTTTTTTTTTTTATAAGGTTAAATATCTCAGGTGTAAAAAATCGAAAGATAAGATTTTGAAAAAACACAATATTAAATTAATCGGCAAAAAAACTGAAAATGAACTTTATCATCAAAAAATACAAAAAGAATATATGATTACATGCATGGACTATTATGTGAAAATTGCCTAATCTAAAGGTATTTTTTATCTTGAGATATTCTTATTGATGTATTGCTAATTTATATGTTCTTATCTAATATTTATCAGAATAGTTTTCGTATACATTACATTGAACTTAACAATAAAAATTTGGGTCTTAATACTTATCTCGAGTTTAATATTGAATCAGACATTGTATTTTTATACGAAAGATTTGTACAGAAAATCAAGCGATTGTATAGTATAAAATTATACACAGAGATTTATTTTTTAATACATCAAACGGGAAGGCCCCCTACAATAATTGTTTAATAATTGGATTACCTTTATAATAACTTTATTTATCTTTTTGAGAGCAAAAATATATTAAACTAATAAAGTGATTAGTTATCCACTTACAAAAAAAAGCTAAGATCTCGACTAATATATTTGCAGGAAAATTATATTCTCTTGAAAGCCTCTAGAACTAAAAACACTAGGATTACTGAACATCCGTAAAGGTTAAGTGTGAAACTATTTTTTTCGGACAAGTACATGGTGCATCTTATGTATTATCCCTTTTCTTTAAACTATTTTATACTTTGTCAGGTCTACTTTAATTGATTTTTTAGTTGAACACATATTAAAGAATTTACTTTTTAACATTAATTAACAATAAAATTGACCATATCAATCTTAATTTATTCATTAAAAATACAATAAATACCGTTAGGTTCTTTATTCCAAGGAGAACTTTAAAAAAGAAAAGTTAATTCCTTCTGGAAAAAATTAAATATTATGGACCACAAAAAAAGATCAAAAAGTCAATTAAAGTAGACTGGAGGGAATATCTTATTAGTAAAGAAGACGTTTATTTAAATAGATTGAGAGGTTATCCAGGCTAGGAGCTACCAGTAAATCCTTGTCTCTACAACTGATACCCTTCCTAGAAGGTGAGCAGTTATAGAGCTTGAAACTGGTAGTAGCTAGTATAGCGAGAGCTTTCATAGTTATTTTTGTATGATTCTGTCTCTAGAGTCCAATGAGCAGGTGTGCTTGTAAATAATTATACTTGGTTGAATAAAAAATTTCATTTTAACCAAAATAAAAATAATTATTATATATAATTATCTACCATTACTTATTTAATGACGAATTTATGTTTTATACATTAATAGTAAAAACATATTTATTATTAGTCCACTTAAAAAGTAAGTACATGTAATTCTATTTAATAAGCGTTAGCCGTTAATGATAATATAAAAATAAATAATATGCTATAATACATTAAATTACACAAATAATATTATATTTTTGTACTTTCAATGGGTTAAACTTAAATTCTTTAATAACCTGATAGGACAAAAAAATACACTGCCAAATGTACAACATTTAAACTCATGACCATGTAAGAGATAGAATGGTTGGAAGTTGTAGTGACTTAAAACTAAACCTACCCTATCCATGATTAAACTAATAATACCATATCTTTCAACATTAATATACAGACCATTCCAGCATCAAATAATTGTTTATTAATGAATGTTCTCCATTAATGCTTGAAGAGTTGAGAATTGTGACAACTGTTTTTTTAAGACCAGCCTCCCCAAGAATAAACCAGACACCAAAACAATAGTATATGTACTTTATACCCCTCAGTCTTAAATTATCTGTTGTGTTTATTTATACGCTTCCCAAGAAAATATTAATTGAAGGGTCTTTTAATTATTTTATTTTGTCTTAAGATATAATCTCTCTTTATTTAATATTTATTTATAATTGAGGTATTTGTAATCTTCAAGAATAATTAATAATAAAGGTAAAATAAGAAAAAATAATTAATTTAATCTTGAACTTCTAAAATAATAAATAATTTGAGATAAATAATTTTAAAAATATTTTCCTAAGCCTCTCCAAGAAAAAACCAGAAAGCAAAGCAATAGTATATACTTTGGTACTTACTCCGACTCTAATTATCTGTCATATTTTTGTTTTACGTGCTCTTTAATAAAATATAATTACGAGGTGGTTTTGACTATTTTATCTTTGTTTATGTCTTACTAGTATTTGAATAGTCATAATCTTATGCATAATTGAAATATTTATAATTTTCAAGAATAATTATTATTAAGGGTAATATAAAAATAATAATTAATTTTATCTTGAACTTTTAAAACAATAAATAAATTAAGATAACTATGTCGTAATTAAATTGAGATAATTATTTTCAGAAATTACTACACATAATTTGAGACAGGAAAATACTGCTAAAATAAAATAAATAAATAAAAAAAGAGGAAAAACACACACACCCCAAAAGCTCACCCACTTTCCTTTTTTCTCATTTTATTTGACTCAGCACCTAAAAGAGTCCTCCTAAATCCCTTTTCCCAATACCCAAAAGGCCAATTCAATTCCAATCTTACCAATCTTGGATAAAGAATCAAACTTTATACATATATCTTGATAAAGAAGTAAATTTTGTACTGTCAATCTCATTTCTTGAGTACCCAAAAAGGCCATTTTGATTCCAATCTTACCAATCTTGAATAAAGATTCATTTTTTTTTTTATGACGGTGGTGTTCGGGTCAGCTTGCGTGCTGTATGAAGATTCAAACTTTACGTATATATGTTGTTAAAAGAAGTAATTTTGGTAGGGTAAATGTCATTTCTTGAAACCCCAAAAGGCCATTTGGGTTCAAATCTTACCTACCTTTGATAAAGTAGCAATCTTTGTGTGTATATTGTTTTTGGGGTATTGTTTTTTTTCTTTGGAATTTATCTGCAAATGGGTAGGAGTAGTTGTTGTTGATCCAAAATATTAGAGTGGGGTTTGACTGATTGAAGAAAATGTACAGTGATTGATTTAATTTTACTGTCTCTCATTTTGTCATTATATTTGACAGATTCAAGATTTAGAGTCAGTAAATTCAGAATGAGTTCAGTATATTGTACTCTTTTTTAGAATTTTTGTTTGCATATGTATACATGGTCCGAGCCGAAAGCAAGTTTTACTGAACACATTTCAAAAGGACAAATTGTGAGATGGAATCAAGAATGGATCAATATGAGATCATGGAACAGATTGGGCGAGGAGCATTTGGTGCAGCTATTCTAGTGCATCACAAGCAGGAGAGAAAAAAGTAAACTATAATATTTATTTTTACCTGAATGTGTGCTTTGAATTTCTTTTAATTTGATTTGGTTTGTAAAATTTTCTTTGTGGGGTTTATTTAATTGATAGGTATGTGTTAAAGAAGATTCGTTTGGCTCGACAAACAGAGAGATGCAGGAGATCTGCTCATCAAGAGGTGGATTTTTGTTCTTTTTTGTTGGTTAATAATGATTATATTTTATGTCCCTTTTCTGTTTGAAGTTTCTAAATAAGGAGATAAAGATGAGTTACTCAAAGAAGAAAAGATTCTTTAGCTTAATTTGTTGAATACAATGGCCTTTCCTCCCAAATTCTTAAATAGTAGTATGAGATTAGCTACTATTGAGTTTGACTTCCACTTCTGTTTTTTTGTTTGATTTCATACTTTGTTGGACTGTTCATTGAATGTTTAAAGGGGTTTCTTGAAAACTGTTAAAGAAATGTACTGTGGGCCTAACTCAACCCTAAAATCTAGCTCAAGAGGGGAGGATTTGCGCAAGATGAGACAAATTGCCTCCCGCCCGACCGATGTGGGAGTACTGACTCCCCCCGCACGCCCAGGCCTGACAGTTAGAGGGTGGACAACATAATACGGGGCCCTAACATCGGGTGAAACAAGAACTGGGAGGGTTTGGCTCTGATACCATGATAATAAATGGACTTTGGACCTAATTCAACCCTAAAAGCTAGCTCAAGATTCTGCTTTTACTTGATCTTCTCTTGCTGTGATAACCCGTTCATTATATTCCAATATCACTTTATAGAGATTCTAGACTTGAAATTCATCCTATTCTTGAAATATTAGGGAAACTTTATGAAGACTACTTGCACTGGTTGATTTAGTTCATTTCTCCTTAAGCTTTTCGAGATACATTACATGTTTGCCAATTGCATGTATATTTTGTTATCTGATTGTGATTTCGTTTGCATCTTAGTGTTTGTGGGATGTGTGGCTTTTTTGAGCATAATACTAATTACATGAATGCATATATGTTCCAGATTTCTACGTAGATGTAATCCAAATTTTGATGTGCAGATGGCGTTAATTGCACGGATTCAACACCCATTTATTGTTGAATTCAAGGAAGCATGGGTAGAGAAGGTGAAAGACGTGAAGTTTTTGCCAGTGAATCGGACTTAACTTCTCTATACATAATGTAATTATTTGCCCTTTCTTGATCATACTGCAGGGCTGCTATGTCTGCATTGTTACTGGCTATTGCGAAGGTGGCGATATGTAAGTTTCTCGAACAACTCATGTTGACATAGTTTTCTGTTATTAGTGCTTTAACTGGTCAACAAGGGTTTCAAGTCTTTGCTTCCCCTCTTTAATAAAACATTCTTTGATAGGGCTGAACTGATGAAGAAACAAAATGGTCAATATTTTCCGGAAGAGGTATGTCCATAGATTATTAAGCTAATAATTCGAATGAGACATGTTAGTTATAAATTTGGATTGTAGGAGGTACTGTATAATTTATCTAGAATAGATTTCAATTACTTGCCGTTTTTTGTATTTTGATTGTTCAAGTAAATGTTCACCTTGCAGAAACTTCTGAACTGGTTCACTCAACTACTATTGGCAGTAGAATATCTGCATTCAAATTATGTGCTGCACCGTGACCTTAAAGTATGTATTTCAACATTTGTTCATATGTTTGCATTTACGGTTCTTTCCTAATTTTCTAAGGTAATTTTTACAACCTGTTGTGGCAGTGCTCGAATATCTTTCTCACCAAGGAACAAGATGTTCGCCTTGGTAAGTTCAGTGCAGTCATTCTTTCTACTGAAGTTGAGATGTATGTGATTCTGATTTTGACAATACTTTTTGTTCCAGGGGATTTTGGGCTTGCGAAAACATTGAAGGCAGATGACTTGGCTTCTTCGGTAAGTTCCGATATACATATTTTTACTGTCTAATTTGGATATACCATCCAATGAAATGCAAAAAATTGCATTCTAGGTTCCCATTAGTAATATTGTTTGGTTAATGGAGACTATTGGAATTTTTGATAGCGCTACTCATTGTATCTTGCACCTGTAGAAAAGTATAGAGGGAAATCGGGTGACGTTCTCAAATATCTTGGATATGATGTTGAATAGACATATTGAATAGGGTAATACTACTTTTGGTTAGTTATTTCGACATAAATAGTTAGTAATCGAAGAGAAAAAGCAGACACAATCACATATATTGACATATTATGTGAGATATGTTGTTGTTAACCAACATAGACACGCCACTTTTGATTTCTCTTGAGTCTTGACTCAAGTTCTAAAGATGGAAGATACTTGTTTAGAAAGCTGATGATATTTTCTATTTCATATTCCAGGTAGTTGGAACTCCCAATTACATGTGCCCTGAACTTCTTGCGGATATTCCTTATGGTTTTAAATCAGATATTTGGTCCCTAGGTATGCAGTTTTCTTTATTTGCAATATTGTGGGAAGATACAAGCATCTATGTCATCTGATGTTGTGAGCTTTCATTTCATTCTGTTTTCTGTTCATTGCAAGGATATTTCAAAAAAGGATTCGAGCAATGGAAACAGCCTCTTGCAGAAATGCAGGATAAGGCTGCGTTATGTAGACCCTTGTGGTCCGGCCCTTCCCCGGACCCCACGCATAGCGGGAGCTTAGTGCATCGGGCTGCCCTTTTTTTTTTTGCCGAGGATATTGCTATCTGTTCCTAATCTTACGCTTATTGTCTTGAGTGTCGCGCACTATGTTTTAAATGTTATTATTAGCTTCTGTAGATTAAAGTCATTCATTTCTTGACCAGGCTGCTGTATGTATGAAATGGCTGCTTATCGCCCTGCATTTAAAGCATTTGTAAGATTTCTACTCTTCTCTATTTCTTTTCCTTGACTCCCTTCCTTCAAGTTTGGAGCTTCTTACTTGCTACAAATCGGACTGAAAAAGTAATTTTAATAATGATTCAGGACATGGCTGGATTAATAAGCAAGATTAATCGGTCGTCCATTGGGCCTCTGCCGTCTTGTTATTCTCCATCCTTGTAAGTCTGCCATTTGTTTGTCACAATTGCTTTATGTTTGAATCAAATTTAATCACTATGAAACAGACGAATACGAAATTGCGTACTTCTAATCCTTATTGTTACATATTGTTTTTACAGGAAAACACTTATTAAAGGCATGCTAAGAAAGAATCCCGAGCATCGTCCCAGTGTAAGCTTACCAAGGATTTACTCTCCTGTAACTTTTGCGTTGGAATAATACGTAGTTCAATCATTTGACATCATCCTTTTCAGGCTTCTGAGCTCCTAAAGCACCCGTATTTGCTGCCGTATGTTGAGCAATACCGACCATCTTTTACTACTCGTGTGGCAAATCATATTGAAAAACCTGTCGCTACTGGTCGTGACTCTAGAAAGAGCATGGCGGAAAGCCAAAGTAGTACAAGTTCTTGTAGCAGGGCTTCCAATTATGATAATAAGGGCACTGATATAGATGTTGCATTTGGTGACGACGATATTGACTTTGAGCAACCTCATTCCTTCGACGAAAATCACGGAGCTGATATCTTTCCTGAAGATACAGATGACTATGAGTCTAAGAACATTATTGACGAAGAGAGGATATGTCATGCAGAAGCTAAGCAACCTAAAACAATAAAAAGTATCGTGCTGGCTATGAAAGAAGGAAAAACGAGAGAGCATAGTTCCCCCATGAGGGGTAACCGAGTGAAGGTTGGTGGTTCGGGCGCACAGAAAGCTAACAACGAAGCATTACCAAAGATCCCAAAACCAAGTTCAGTTACTCCTATTTCTAAACCTAATGCAGAGATGCCATCTCCTGTATTAGCAAAGGCTGGATGTGATTCGGCAAAAAGGAATCACGGACCGCATACTTTAAAGCATCAGGTAATTTAGCCATTCAATCTCTCATCTCCAGTAGTATTTGCCTATTGGTTTGTATAATTAATTAAGGGATAATTACATTTTTTGGCGGCCCTAAAAAATAATAACAGGCAAATGTATAAGTTTTGTATATCAAGTATAAATATACATATCATATACATAATCAATGTTTTTGTATATTTGGGCTAGCGCCCGTAATTAATTTCGGCCGACGGGCCAAAAATGAAAAATCCCTATAATTAATTAATGCTTCTTTCCTTGCAGTTGCCTGCCATCGAGTCCAGTACCAAGACTAAACCTAGACATGAGGGTATCTCTCCCTCTGGTCCTTCAAAGCACGTTGCTGAAGATGGATTTCCTGCAAAGCCGAGACTGCGTACACCTCCTAACCTGATTAGACGACCCTCATTTCCCAGAAGGATGAAACAAGTCGGGCATGATGCCCCAAATACTCCTAACAATAATGCTAAGTCTGGTCCGGGCGACAATTTCCCGTGTCCTGAAACGGTTCCTGATTCAACACCCGATGGCTGCCCTAAACATGCTATAAAGAATTGTGTGCAACATTCTCGAAAGGTTTCATTAGGAACTTCAAAAGAAACGCAGGCGGAGAGTAGCATTTCTGCTTCTTCTTCTGTATCAATTCAAGGATTTGAACTTTGTGACGACGCAACAACTCCTTTTATGAATTTGACTGAACAGATGGTCCTAAGTCACGAAAGAGCTACTGAAACTGAGACCACAAGATCAAGGCCCTCCTGGTCAACCACTAACTCATCTCTCTCGGAGATTGCTTTTGCTTCAGTGGAAACCCTTGATAACAAGAATTCTGAACCATGCTCCATCGAAAAGGTTGAGGAGCCTCATCACATTATGGATGTTGGTGCTTGCAATCAGAAATCAGACCCCACTTCGGCCTCCCCTGGGGACGATAAGTTTATGGTGAAGTTGTCATCCTCGACAACAGAAATTGCCTCTCCCACTGCTCCTCTTGTTCCCTTGAGTCAAACTAGTCTTCCTCACTCAGACAGTGCCTCAAAAACCGACGGTGATGACAAGTTTATTACAAAGGAACTCTTGTGCTCTCCGACCGAAAGTATTACTCCCTCGCTCCCTCCGTTTTCACCTCCTCAAAATAATTTGTCGCCAGAGAAGGGACTAATGACGGTTGTTCCAAAGAATATGTTTCTTGAAAAACCAGCTGCTTCTGACGATGTCATACATGTCATTCGACACAGTAGTTTCAGAGTTGGTTGTGAACAGCCAGCGCCAGACACTATGGAGACAAGTGCTGATGTTGGGAAACTGATAAATGTGGTAAGAGATGAAATTGATATCGACAGTCTAGGTTCTCATGGCACTCCAAATGCTTCTACTTTTGCTGGATCGGTGATTGGTGTCCATAATAAGGAGATGGATGTAAGAAACAACAGCAGTCCAACCTCTTCGGCACAAAGAATAGATTCTTCAGAACCGGCTGCAGAGGAGGAAAGGCCGGTAAAGGAAACGTTAGATGTTAAGTCTTTTAGACAAAGGGCAGATGCACTCGAAGGACTATTAGAATTATCTGCTGACTTATTGGAACAAGACAGATTAGAAGAGCTCGCTGTCGTTCTAAAACCTTTCGGCAAGAACAAGGTTTCACCGAGGGAGACAGCTATTTGGTTGGCCAAGAGTCTGAAAGGAATGATGCTTGACGAATCTGCGCGAAATTCATGATCTGCTCTGCAGATTGGTAATTGCAGATACTTGTTTTATAGTTTTGCTCACTTGTTTATCTTTTTCATTTTTTTGGTAAGTTGAATTCTTGAAGAGGGGCACTTAAAGGTGGTGCTTAACTTCCTTTTTTCTCATAAGTATTTATGTAATTCTTTCATTTTAGTAATTGTAAATAGATAAATAGTAACTTGAATAAATCTTTTGATCTGTGAAATATAAGGGTGTATTAAAACACTATTGTTAATAGACATTTTCATGTCATGTTCTCCTGTTTTCTTGGACATAAATAAGTCCAACTCTTTCTCATATTTGACGTTGTTCACCAGCAGAGGCGAAGCTCGGGGGTTCATTATACTGCATATGTAAGTAACTTTTTATGTATATATATCAGACGTTGAAACTCCTTAGTTTCTTCGCGTGTTTATATTTTTTTTTTATTTTTGAATCTCTTTAGTGAAAATGCTTATTCCACCACGATGTACAAGCACTATTTTAAAAGGCATTTTTTGGGGCGAGTCCTTGGGCGAGGCGCACCAAAAATGCCTCGAGGCGATAGTGTGGGGCGAAAGTCTCAAGAGGCATACGCCCAGCAATTCGGGGCGTACAACCGAGCGTTCAGGGCGTATGCCCGGGCGTTTGAGGCGCATTTTTTTAGTGAGGCGTAAGCCCCAAAGACTTTTTCAAATTAAAACAAAATTTGTTGAATTAGTCCTTTATATAATACCCAAATTCTCAGAAGTCAGCTTGGTAATTACTCACAAGTTTTAAAAAGTAACTGAAATATATTAAATTTAAAAGTCAAGACTTTTTTTATTGATTGAAGCCCTAATTCATTTTTTTTTCTCAATTCTTTATCTTGTCTGTTAGTCTGCTAATATCTCCCAAAAGCAACAAATATATATTTTTTTTTATAAATAAAAAGAGAACTCCATTCTCCTTCAAAGCAGCAAGTTTAAAGNTATATACCTTACACCCCTTGCTTCGGGGCTTACTCCTCGCTGAGGCATATGTAAAACGCCTCGTCTTACGCCCCGCCTTAAAACACTGTGTACAAGTACATTTCTTGAGTAGCCCTTGCATGAAATAATATGAATGTATAGTTAAGTTGAGGATTGGATTCAAATGTGATTGAATTATATGAATTACTAGTTTAAATAAATAAAAAATCGATATTGGTTAAATTGAATATTTTAAGGCCAAAATAGAATAAATAACAACAAAATCAAGAATTTTGAATTGAATTAAACTTCATTAGTAATCTAATTCTTAAATTAGAAGTTTTAATCACATTCCATCTCACCGTAAAATTGCTTAGCTTACCATCTTGATTGTCAATATCGCATAAAAAGTACAAAGTGTTGTAATTTTTTTTTTATAATTAATATAGATGTCCATTATTTTCACTACTCTTTTCTGTGATAACTTTCACTACTCCTTATAATTATGCTTGTAACTCGTACCCTTTGATGTTCCTCAATGCAGCTCCCCCCCCCCCCCCCCCCCCTCTCTCTCTCTCTCTCTATATATATATATATATATATATATATTATATATATATATATATATTAGTATCTGTAAACTTGCTTGCACGTTAATAATGACACATGATGGTTTAAATATTTATTTATATGAAGGAAGAAAAAAAACAATTAATGAGAAAAATGTTATTGCATTAACATAATACGTGAATTCAAAATGAAAAGATGTCATCAAAACTAACACAAATGATCAATTTAATCATGTTGATTAGGTAATAATTGTAGTTTAAAGGTATTTAATGTGATGGTATTTTACCGAATACTTCTTTGTAGATGATATTTTTTTGTGTATGTTTCCTTCTAATGCTTTGGTTGTTCTGCCATAACCAGAAATCTTGTTGTCGATATTGATATCCCTCTTGAAAGTGAAACATATAGTTATTCTTGCAAGAAAATATATTGTTGTAAATATAGTCCAATATTTAGGATGTTTGTCCTTGTACTTTATTTATTATAATTATAAACATAAACATGCTGAAAAATATTTTACACAAATTTAAAAGGATATTTTTTAGTTTCAGAAGACGAAAGTTGACTTAGAAGCACATTGACCAGTATCATAATTTCTACGTGTATATGACGTTATTGTCAAAATTTCTATATACTATGTGTACTATTATATATGCTATTCGACAGAATTAAGTTTTTCAGTAGCATGACGGGCATATTTTTCTTCAAAATTAACCTATATATGAAAGATCAATTTTACCTTAGTCTATTATATATATGGTGACACTAACATACATAAGAAATAATGAACTTGACAACAAACCTGGATGGTAGAAGGCCATTTGATATTAAGTATTTGAGTATTCTTTTTGGTAGTAATTGTTGGTATCATCTTCTGTTGAATCAAAACTGAAAAATATTTTATTTTTACCATAAAACTTAGCAATCAACCTTTTATTTAGTTGATCAATTTATTTCTGCTAGCTAAGATAGCTCTTTAATTTCTATCATGTAATTTGCACAAATTGCATTTAATCTAATAATGATAATAATTTTTCTTATTAAATGCACTATTATTACCATTGGGGTTGATAACCAAGTGTTCTAGAAGAACCAAATCATCTTTTCATTTTCGACCGGAAGCAAGAAGTCACTGAATGTTAGATCTATTCTTACTTTTATATTTCTTGTCATTTTTTTTTTCATTTGAGGCTATAAGTATAATTTTGGCAAGCTAGCTTTTATGGTCTTTGCTTTTGTCGATTTTGGAACTACTGATAGTACTTGACAGAAACCACCTCACAAACTGTTACCTTTCTACCAAACAGTTTATTGATATCCAATATATCTCTAGAACTCTAGGTAATTGATTCGATTATTTGACGCTTAGCCATAAGTGCTTCATCCCATATTTTTAATTTGGCTTTTCTTATAAATTTAGCATCATTGCTTTGCTTTGATATATTTGTGATGGTTATTTTAATTTTTGAAAGAGGTATATCAAATCTAAAGTGAGTTGTACGGCCTCGTAATAAAATCGTTGTCGGTACACCACGTGTTATTACTAACAGTATCATGCCTCTTGATCTGACATTACAAGTAATGACATAGGAATATTATTTCGATTCCGCCAGAGACATCTACAAAGGACAAACCCGATATACCATAGTTGACTCTTTATAATATAGTCTTAAAAGCTTGTTCTTGTTCAGAATTTGGCTTTGATTGTGCTCCCTCGGACACTTGTATGGCCTGCCTTCTTAATACTATATTAATCTTTTTTACTTTTCGATTTAATTTATTTTAATCTCTATCGCTCTTTTTATAGAATAAATTTACATATTTATCAATGATATTGACTCTTACCAACCTTTTTCTTTCTCTTTCTCACACATTTATATTCCTAAAAAAATTCTTAGTTGTTCTTTAATAATTAAGAAATAATAATTACTTTATAAATTTTCTCATTAAATTTGTTATCTTCTAAAAATTGAATCACAAAAAGAATTTTTTTGCATCTTGTTCGTGAAACTAATATTTAGGAGAAAATTACAAAAAGAAAAAAAATCAAAACAAAAGTAATGTTTATCTAGCACATTAAATTTTCGAAGGATAAATTTAATTCGGGGTCATACAGTGATATCTTATTACTTTACTTTATATAAGTGGCTTACTTTGAAAAACGGTATGAATTCTTATAAATTTGTGATCTTTGGTTCTAGAGTTGCCGTAGAAATACATATGTAGTCTCCTACTCTCCTACACGACAACAAAGAAGGGTTTTGGCGTTAAATTAGTAAAATATTCCCTTTTTTTCTCGCAGATTTACTGACTTCATAATTAATTACAATTTTATCCTAAATAAAGTTATTACAATGCTCAATATTTTAAGGTTATTTTGATAATCTGACATCGTATTCATGCTTTTATAATAACTAGTATCTATGTACGTGCGTTGCACGTATATCCCTGTCAATTGATTTAAATTTTGTATAACAATGATAAATTTACTTGCATGTAGACCTATTAAATTTAAATGAATTAAATATTATTCAAACCTTCGAAAATAAAATATTAAATTAAATTTACTTAGATATTTATTGCTTTCACTCTATATTTCTAAATGATTTTCTAATTATGAAAATGTCATACTACAAAGCATTCNTCAACAAATAATTATGTTCCAAAGTAATTTAAAAAAGGAAAAAGCCTTATGAATCAATAATAGTCATATATTGGTGGTGGTTAGCGAATCAAGTTTTATTTGTTTAATTAATTTTATAGAGATTCTGTTACCTTTTTTTGTAATTCAGTTTTTATGCATGACATAATTGCGAGTATGAATATAAAGTTGTATTATAGTTACAAAGATATTTTTCGAGTTTATAACCCAAATATTTGATGGACGATAGGCTGCAAACTTTATATATAAAGGGGACATAACTAACATTAGGATTAAGAGTTATAGTAAAAAAAGGATTTATCAAGATAAAGTAACAAGAGCACATAATAAATAATAGGATGAAGAGTTATGGTTGACCAAAAAAAAAATTTATTCTCCAAACTTCCATGCTTGCTGGTTAAAATTTAATAGGTAATGGTCTTCAATATTTTTATTGTACAATACTGCCTCGATCTTTATCCCCTATAAATTAATATAAAAATTATTTTATATTAATTAAAAATAACACAAATAAGTAATATATTATATCAAAATAAATATACAAAAGAAGCCTACCTCTTCGTCAACAAATGTTAAATACCAACGCAAACCCTCTCCTTTGTCGTTCTTATATTTTATTATTGGTCCTCTTCGAATAACTAATACCTTAATTACCCATTCAACATCATAAAGTTTAAGGTTATTTATAATGACACATTTTTTTCCAAATCCGATTTCATTACACTGCGCGAAATACCTACAAGTATATAAGTAAAAGCTGTAAAATATTATGTAATAGCTAAAAATTAATATTGTTACACTAACATTAGTTGCAATAACACAAATCATTCATCTCTAAAGATATACAATTTAAATATAATACTACGTCAATGTAAAAGACTTTGATATGTAAAAGTAAAAACTACACCAAAAAACAAAGAAGTACGACACAAAAAAAAATAACAATAAAAGTTAAGGTGTCATTGTTTTTCTCTCTAATTCAAAGACATGCATTACTCAATTACAAAAACGGGAACTTACTCAATTACGAAAAATGGAAACAATAAAGAGAACTAATAATACCTTTGGAGAAAATTGCTTCGTTCTACACC